GTGTGGGGTTGTTCCTTGTATGGGCATAAGTGTCTGGGAGTTCTGTCACAATAGAATAATCTAAATTTTGTAGGATTATAGTGTGTGGGCCACTGTTGTGTTTGGAGTTAACTGGACAAAATATAGATGAAACCTGAATGATTTATTTCCAATATTGTGTTTCTTATTAGAACCGTAAAGTGGTAACCCTAACTTGAATTTCATTTTATCCAAAACTCACTGGAGCCATGTAAAAAGAGTTTTTAAAGATAAATTAATACATTCACGAAAAATGCTGTTTATGTTGCTATGCTGGCACATTGCACGTCTAAAGCTCTATTAATGTGGATGCGAAAGGCATCCTTCGCTCAGCTGATTTTATAAAGAATAATGTGCTTATTATTTGCGTTTGGCTCTAACTTTTCAAAGTACTTAGTGAAGACATTTTTCCAGATCTTGTCATCCTGCTTATCAGCAATTTTCAGTTTTTTATGAAAAACTCAACAAAACTGCCAGATAAATGCTAACTGTGTACGATACAAAGAGGAATAGGAAGTATTCGTGGAACAGTAAGAATGTGTTTATATGTTGCCAACTATCCTTTCAGATTAATTTTCACTTTTTTTTAAATTTACTTATTTATTTATTTATTTTTTTGACATGTGCCTGTCGGACTGGTTTCTTTAGAGACAACAACACTTGTCAAAGCTTTCTGAAGAATTTCTTCTTGTCTAAGCGTAATGGGAGACGACCTCGATGAACCTAGTCTTAACCCTTCATTGTCGCTTAATATAACATTTGTTTGTTTGTCTACAGATCAGTTTTTATTTTGCGTATATTGTATATCAGAGGCAAATGAACTCTCGCTACAAATTAATTTAAACCAGGAAATAAGTAATTTGCTTTTTATAAGAGCTGTCATTAGTGACTCTGTAGGGCTCCATTACAATGTTAACTACTGAGCTTTATGGGAAGTTATGGCCCTATAAAATTCCTAGAATATCCTATTCCAGCAGGTAAATGTAATGCTGTTATGTGCTGATAAGGCACCAGTTATGTCTGCATTATAATCACAATGAGTCATATGTACTAAAAGAAAAACAAAACTCGGTCCATTTGAATTACATTTTGCAGACTTGTGCAATGGGTTTCAAACAAATTGCAATTCATTCGAATTTTAGATATTCAGCAATTTGTCCAAAATCCCGAACTCCGAAATGCTATAAGTATAAATCCCAAAGCAAACACAATGGACTTTGGATGAACTGTTTAATTTGTTTTTATTTTCTGAGTACGGAAAAAAAGATTACTGATGGTCAGGGCCGGACTGTGAAATAAATTCAGCCCGGGCATTTTTTAATCACAGCGGCCCACTGAGAAAGGGCGGAGCCGGAGAGGGTGTGTTTTGTCATCACCAATGGCAAGCACGCCCCCTCTAAAAGTGAGCATGTTGGTTCAAAGCTCTTGCAGGGCAGACCATGCACAGAGCTCTGCTGAAGAGCTTTAGCATGAGAAACAGGCCCTTTATTTGTTCTGCGCAGCGCAAACATTTTTATTAACATGCTTGCACTGTGTTTGCTTGTAACTTGTCTCTGGTGTCTCCATAAGTGGGATACGAGGAGACAAAAGGGCCAGGAAAGAGTATTGTGCATGTGTTTGGAGCCTGCTTGTGAAATTGTGTGTGTGTAGAGTGAGCTGATTGTTGTGTCATATTGTGTAAATAGGTCGTTTTCAGTTGTGTTGTGTTTGTGGGGTAATGTGTGGCTAGGGGCTGTAAAGAGTGAGAGAGTGTGTGTATAGTGAGTATAGTGCGTATAGAGGCTGTAGAGTGTGTTTGTTTAGGGAATGTAGTATGTGTTAACTTATAAGGTATCTATTGTGTGCATAGAGGATCCAGAGTTTGTATGTCAGGGATGTAATGTGTGTGTGAAGGTGATCTATTGTGTGTTTGAAGGACCC